TTTTAATTATCCAGCTTTAGGAATACACTGTCATGCAGGGACCTTCCCGGTGGGACATGAGAAATCCTGAGCCAGCCACTGGGGCAGAGAGCAATTGGGGCTCTGGGCATTTGTGCATACTTGGAAATTGAGGTTGATTAGTAAGAAAACTATGAATAATGCAGAGAACTCCATAGGGTCCGGTCCACTGTAAATATCCAGCAGAGTTGGGAGAGTATAGGCAGACAAATCTCGAGAACAATCCCTGGGGGACTCATAAGCACTTTCTGCAGACAGTTGAGGCTGCATTTACAGGATCAGAGGCCAGTAATTCTTGACAGGAACTATCATCCTTCTGTGCAGCATGTTTAATTGACCGATCTTCAGAGCACCTAGCAAAAGAAAGCCACGATGAACACATACCCCATTACACAGATAGGTAATCTGAGGCTCTAGCTAGTCTGCTTTGGCTGAGGTCACACAGAGAATAACAGAGGAATCAGGAGCCCGCACTGACCGGCTACAACCCGTCTCTCTGGCGGTGATTCAGGGAATGACAATAGGGAAATGATACTGTCGACAAAGCTTCTGTCCACAAAGGGCGTCTAGATTACATTCAGTTCTGTTGACAAAGCAAGCTGCTTTGTCGACATGGCAGTGTAGACGCAAAGGACAGTGTAGATGCAATAACGCCTTCTGTCGACAGAACTCTGTCAACAAAAGGTGTTATTCCTCGTAAAATGAGGTTTACCAGCATCGACAAAACTGCTGAGTTCTGTCGACGTTATGTCGACAGAACTCAGCGGTAGTGTAGACGCAGGTTTAGTTTTGTCGACAAAAGTCCACTTTTGTCAACAAAACCCTGTAGTCTAGACACACCCATAGTCCTGCAATGTCTGTTCCTTGGATAAGAATGTCAGACTTCCCAGTGGTGCACCTAGGAACCAGGGTACCGCTACACTCTCAGACATACCGGTCTTGGCCCCCTCTCTCACTGTTATTGTTCCAGAGATCTAGGTTCATGTTCCATTGACAACAAACCTAGCCAAGTGCCTTCACGCCTTAGCAGATCTTATGATCATTGGGCAGTTCCCTCAAGCTGTAATGTGATAGCTATCTGTACAGAGCCAAGATGGCACATGGAGGAAACACACAGAGCCAAATATCCATCAACACCAGCACCCATCTCTAGATTCCTTGTAGTAAATAGCAGTGGTACCTATCAATGGGAGGCCACTTTGCCTCACTGCATTGCTGACCATCACCCACATTATTCAGGAACCGTTGGGGTAGTGCAGTAGTTGGCAGTCAGGAAAAAGGTGCAAACATGTAGGAGTCCGAGGCTTTCATTAAGGCAAAAAATTGTCTATGGTTTAGACCTGTATTTGGGGCCTACCAGCAAGATGGTTGGGCATCCTAGCTCCAGTGGATGACTAAAAATCACAAGCTCCTTGGCCAAGTGGCAGGTAGCTGCCAATCCAAGTGTGGGGTGTCAGGATTATAGAGAGGTGGGCCATTCCTACTCCAGCACATACCAGCTCAGGGCCCTACGAGAAGCAGAGATTTAAACCACTGGATCAGTGGGGAATCCCACTGAAACATGCTGAGATGATCTCCAACTGCAATGTAGCTAGAGTAGAGTTGGCTCCTCCTGGGAAACTTCCTCCCCTCTCTTTGGGGGACACCTAGACCCACAGCGGGGGCTCCAGTTCATCTGGGTAGAAGGACTCAGGCACTCCCAGTGGCTCTATGGTGCTTTGGTCAACGACTGGCTCCCCCAACTCTGGCCACTGCTCATCTCAGTCAGGACATGCTGCTGTCTTTCATCTCAGCAGCAGAGAGGAGACTTTTTTCTCTTTTAGCAGCTGCAGCCCCCCAGAACCCCAGAACCCCTCATCCAGTGGGAAGGATGAGCATGGCCTGCTTCTGCCCACTTGGGATCACGTAGTAGTCCCTTCCACTTTGGCTCTGCAGGCAGCCACTGGACCTCACTACATTACTACATGCCACTCTGGGTTTCAGGGTATGTCCGTATTTATTCCAAAACCATTTCTTTGAATGACAATTATCTACCACTTGGGTATATCCGGAGCTGTACCAGTTCCGTGGCATCTTGCGGTCATGGGGAATCTCCTAAAGCACACCCAGTCTGTCAGCGTTAGCGAGGTATTCAGCAACATCACCCGCCTCAGTGTAGGCAGGACACACCTGTTCTCATTACTGGATTTTTGGAGAGGTGGGAATCAGGGCAGGGGGAAGCATTTCATTCTGCTTCTCCAGCGACTCCACTTGGCGATTCCACTGTCCCTCCACTATCTGTTGTCTCAGTTCCTTAGCCTTTTGTGTCCAGCTTTGACTGGCAGCCTCTGCCCCCTCCTTGTGTTGTATTTTATTTTTCTACTGCCTGCAATCTGGACACTTCCAGTTTTGCAATTGATTCACTCTTTTCTCCCCTCTTGCTGCTTTTCTGTCTCTGCCTCCCTTTTCTGAAATAAGCAAATAGGGTATGTCTATACTACAAAGTTAATTCGAACTAACGGGCACCCCTGAGAACTGTCTGTCCGTGGTGGTGGTCGGTACCCTTTAAGCACAGCCCTCGGCTAGCCTGAGACAGCATCTCCACACTCTAAGTCCTCCTCTGATGCCCTGCCAGCACTGCTTCCGGCCATCCTTAAGCCTGGTTCAGGGTCCACTTAATGTGGACATGCTAGTTCGAATTAGCAAAACGCTAATTCAAACTAGTTTTTTAGTCTGGATCCGTTAGTTCGAATTAGCTTAGTTCGAATTAACTAATTCGAACTAAGTTAGTTTGAATTAACGTTGTAGTGTAGGCGTAACCATATAGAATAACCAACGGGTGACATCTCTGACAGATCTCCAGCCAATGCACTTTGGAGCTCACCTAAAATGCTGTGCCAGAGTAGGACATGCCAATCTCTTCCCGAAGATCAAGCTGCCCATCTCATTATACGTGCAGTGCCCCGGTGATTGACTTTGAGGGCTCTCCAAATAGAATAGGCACCACGAAGCCCTGTGGCCTACCAATGTGGGCCCCTGTCTTACCCGGTGAGAATGTGGCAAGCCGCAAACTCCTCCAGGAGCTGCACTCACACAAACAGTCATAGGCAGGGACACACCCAGCTGAATTACATGAAAGCTTTCGCCAGCTGCTCATGAATCCACAATGGAGAGGCTCCAAGTGATAGCTCCCAGTGACCCAGCCTACAACCCCAGAACGATAAAGTCTTGCCCTGGTTGGAAGCCTGGGCAGTATACTCTTATACTCCAGTCTGCCCCTCCCTCAATGTGGAGAGAGCAATGCACCAGCTCCAGAAGAAGATTTCCCTTTACACTTCAAACAATGCACTGTTTTCGGTTTTAAAAAAATGGATGTATTAAATACAGACCGATAGGTTTTAAGTTATTAGACAATCTCCAGGAAAATCCCTCTGATAGATTTTTGTTCACTGTTATTTATTCCTTCACGTAACACAAGAACGAGGGTTCGCCCAATGAAACTAATAAGTAGCAAACCTAAAACAAGGAAGCAATAGTATTTCTTTGCATTTGAGCTGCAGCACTCTTTGCCAGAGGGTGTAGTGAAGGCCCAAATGATGACATGGATCCAAAAGGAGCTAGATACATTCATGGAGGATAGGGTCCCTCAATGGCTATTGGCCAGGAGGGACAGGGATGGTGCCCCTAGCCTCTGTGAGCGAGAAGCTGGGAGTGGGCAGTAGGGCAGGGATCACTTAATGATTCCATGTTCTGTTCATTTCCCAGGAAGCACATGGCATTGGGCATTGCTGGAAGACGGGGTACTGGGCTACATGGACCATCGGTCTGACCCAGTCTGGCTATAATTATGTTCTTATATAATCCACAAATAGAACCCAGGAGTACAGAGGGGGGTCACTCTCCCTGTAGCATTAGCAACAATGGCTATACATTAAAACTATAAATAGAACCAGTGTCCTTTAATTCACTTCTCACAAGGTATCAGAACATATTAGCACTAAGTCTAAGGGGTCTAATGGTTATTTAATTTTCTTTCTTTTATACATGGATTAGATACAGTGCACCTGTTTGCAAATTGCTAAGGGTATGTCTAAACTACATGGCTCCGTCGATGGAGCCATGTAGATTTGTTTGTTCGGCAAAGGGAAATGAAGCCGCGATTTAAATAATCACAGCTTCATTTAAATTTAAATGGTTGCCACGCTGAGCCGACAAACAGCTGATCAACTGTTTGTTGGCTCAGTGCGCTAGTCTGGACGCTCCCCTGTCGACATGAAAGCCCTTTATTGACCTCCACGGTAAACCTCATCCTACGAGGCATAACGGGGAAGTTGATAAAGGGCTTTCAGGTCGGCGCGGGAGTGTCCAGACTAGCGTGCTGAGCCGACGAACAGATGATCAGCTGTTTTTCAGTTCAGCGTGGCAGCCATTTAAATTTAAATGAAGCGGCAATTATTTAAATCGTGGCTTCGTTTCCCTTTGTCAATCAGCCTAATCTACATGGCTCCATTGATGGAGCCATGTAGTTTAGACACACCCTAAGTTATCTGCCAAAAAAACAGAGTTTTCAAGAGCACCCTAGTGGAATCATAGTTAATGGTGCCACCCCTACCAAAATCTAAAATAGCTTCTCTGAGGCTCACTGTGGAGGGAAGGAAGTGAAAAAAATCCCTCCAGCAAGTGACGGGGGGAGAGAAAGAGAAGATTAAATTAAAAGGGTTGTGCCTTGGGGAAAAGAGGCAAATCAGCAGCGTAGCTTTGGAGAAGAGGTGAGGCAAGGGGAGGGATTTTGGGGGTCCAATGACCAGGAATTAGAAATATGGCAACCCAATGAATTGCACACAGACTGACTCCCCAGTGTGTCATGCTGACACAGAGCAGCGAGGTGAGAACATGGTTTCATGTCTATGTGACTGTCCAGTTAGAGTGATTCAGGGAAGAGGGCCCAGCACCATGTCACCATGACGGAGTTTGGTTGGAAGAGCGAAAACAAAGAGAAAACTTTAAGTTCCTTTATAAGTAAATAGCCAGAGCAGCCTGTCCTGGATCTGTTTGGTCCTTACCCCGTAGATGATGGGATGTAGCATAGGCGGAGCCAGAAGATACACATTGGCCATAAGAATGCGGAAATGCAGGGCCATATGCTGGCTAAATCGGTGTGTGAGGGAGGCGAAGAGATGTGGGAAGTAAAAGGTTAAGATGGCGCAGAGGTGGGAGACGCAGGTCCCCAAAGTCTTCAGCCGGGCGTCCTTGGTGGGGAGGCTGAAGATGGCCCTGAGAATCTGGATGTAGGACACGGAAATAAAACACATGTCCAGACCAAGCACTAGAAGTTTTACAGAGAGGCTGTAGTAACTACTGACGCGGATGTCAGCACAGGCCAGCATCACCACGGCGATGTGCTCGCAGTACGAGTGGGAGATGATGTTAGTTGTGCAATATGGCCACTGCCTTGCCAGGAAGAGACTGGGTAGTGCGAGTGTCCCACCGCGCAACATCACCACCAGGCCAATCCTGGCCACCACGGGGTTGGTCAGGACGGCTGAATGTCTCAGGGGGTGGCAGATGGCCACGTAGCGATCCAACGCCATGGCCACTAAGATCCCAGACTCCATCATTGAAAAGTTGTGAATAAAGTACATCTGGGTGAGGCAGGCACTGAAATTGATCTCCCTTGCATTGAACCAGAAAATGCTCAACATTTTGGGCAGGATGGTTGTAGACAGGACCAGGTCGGTGAAGGCCAGCATGCAGAGGAAATAGTACATGGGCTCATGGAGGCTCGGTTCCATCTTCACAATGAGCAGGATGGCGAAGTTCCCAAAGAGGGCTATGATGTACATGGCAGAGAAGGGGATGGAGAGCCACACATGGGCGGCCTCCAGGCCAGGGATGCCCAGCAGGATGAAGGTGGAGGGGTTGGTGAAATCGGTTTTGTTGGAATCTGACATGGAGTTGAAGAGATGGGGTCCAATTGGGAGATGGAACAGAGCCTCCTGCATGTGTCCTACGTCTCCCTGGTTTCCTGTATCGGCCCAGAGTCTAGGGTGATGGTCGCAGTGCAAAAGCCTGTATGGAGAGAAAATGTTAACATGAGACAGACACCATATTCACTACTGGACATTGTTCTTATCCATGACTCAACGTGGTCAACCGTCACATACTGTAAATGAGATTTTCATGAATCAGAAATGAACGATGAGCAAGTGAACTAACACCAATTGTGTAGTTCATGGTACTCCAGGGATCAATAATTACTTCATGTCATGGCATGAAGACACCTTAATAGGCATTTGGAAACACAACTGCAGATACTGGTTAACATAAGAACATAAGAACATGAAAACAGCCAGACTTGGGGTATGTCTACACTACAGGTTTTTCGGAAAACAGCGGGTTTTTTTCTGAAAATACTTCAATTTATGACCACGCTGCAACTGCATTTTTTCAAAATAAATTCAAAAGAACTAAGGGGTTTTTCTGACATTGGTAAACCTCTTCCTATGAGAAACAAGCCATTTTCAAAAAGAGCTCGTTCAGAAAAAGCTGTGTATGGACGGGGAAGAGGGAGTTCTTTCGAAAGAAGAGGAAAGAGGAGAAAGCACTGGTGCTCTGGTGGCCACTTCATCCATAGTAATCACAGCTTACAGGAGAGAGAATGTCCATTCAGTGTGGACATTATCTTTCGAAAAAGCAGATCACTTTTTTGATGCACTTTGGCAGTGTGGATTCTCTCTTCCAGAAAAGCTTCTTCTGAAAGCATCCTGCAGTCTAGACATAGCCTGGGTCAGACCAAAGGTCCATCTAGCCCAGTATCCTGTCTGCTGACAATGGCCAATGCCAGGTGCCCCAGAGGAGGCAAGGACGTTTAACAGGTAATTCGAACTAGGGGCTTTAATTTGAACTACCGGGTCCCTGCCAAGTGTAGACATGGGCAGTTAGTCCCGACTTGTATATTTCAAAAATGGCGACCGGCTGGGAAGATGCAAATCAAGCGCGGGATATTTAAATCCTGGGCTTGATTTGCAACTTCGAATACCTACATTAACCTCCCTAGTTCGAACTAGGGGGCTAGTGTAAACAGACCCTAAAAGGATAGTGCTGACACACCATAAGAAAGGTGGAGGCTGCCGTGTGTCGACAGACAGAAAAGTCAAGGAATGTTTATTTTAGAAAAGAAACAAAGAAGGGGATGTATGATATAGGAGAAGCAAATCAAGAATGGAACTAACTGATCCCATTCAAAGGGAGGAAAACATAACAGGTCCCAACCAGTAACGTCAATAGACACTAATAGGGTACGTCTACACTGCTACCCTGCATCTACACAAGCCATCCATTATTTTGAAATATTTTTCGAAATAACGGGTGTGCTATTTTGCCATCCCAGTAAGCCTCATTGCACGAGGGATAAGGGCTGGCTCAAAATAGTGCATTATTTTGAACTTTCGTGCTGTGTAGACATGCCCAATTTCAAAATAAGCTATTTTGAAATAGATTTGAAAGATGGCAATTGCATCTCTTACTTCGAGTTCAGGGTGCTGTGTAGACGCACCCTTAGTGCTTCAACTAGGCTAATTCCCCTAAGCGAAGGCTTCAGCTACACTGCCAATTTTGCTGGTAGTGAGTATGCAAATGAGGCACAGATTAGCATATTGCTGCGCCTCATTTGTATAATTTATGCACACCGTTTTTGTGGGGGAGAAAAGTAGTGTGGATGGGGTTTTTGCGCCAAAAAATGTCCACGCTCCTTTTTTTCCGCAAAAACCCTTTGCAGAAAAGGGCTTGCATAAATTATGCAAATGAGACATGGCAATATGCTAATCCACACCTCATTTACATACTCACTGCCGACAAAACTGGCAGTGTAGACGTAACATAAGGGAAATGAATAAATAACACTGTTTGGGAGGAAACATTCTGAGAGAAAAATGGGAATAGTATTTGGGAGTTTCTTTAAGAAGAGTTAGCTAAAATGACAGGCGCCCACAGTCAAGAAATTGTAACACTTTTGTGATCATGTGGTGTGGTGGTAAAATGAAACCAGCAGTTGGTGGTGGGGCGGAGAAGCAATAGGTAACAATAGGAACAAAATGAGATGCAAGTAATAAAAATGGGAAGTTATGGAAATTGGCAAGGGATGTTAAAGGCATCAGGAAAAATCCAAACTTGGCAGGGCTAAGCATCGCAGGAACAGATGTTATAACGTATGTTAAGAACAAAAGAAATCCTGGAAAAGTTTTAGGCCAATTCCTAGAGGGAGAAAATAAACTTGTTAATATTGCACACACATTTGGAAAGAAGCTGTATGAGCGATTCATGTCACATGAGACAATTAAATAGTTTCTAGTCTCTAAGCTGCCACGGAGGATGTTAAACAGCATCTGCAATCTGTCTTTAGGGTTACAAATATCAGACTTATGAACTGACCGATGACCTCATATCTCACGCGGAACCAGATGTATGTGAACAGCAGAAGAGCAAAACAAAAATAAAAAACAAGAAAAAACCAACACAGCTGCCCCTCCGAAGGAAATGAGAGTACATATTTTGTTGTCCAAAGAAACCATGAAGATGCAATAAAAACTGATTTCTCAGTGGCTTTTGATTTTGAACATAAGAACATAAGAACGGCCGTACTGGGTCAGACCAAAGGTCCATCTAGCCCAGTATCCTGTCTGCCGACAGTGGCCAGTACCAGGTGCCCCAGAGGGGGTGGACCGAAGACAATGATCAAGCGATTTGTCTCCTGCCATCTCTCTCCAGCCTCTGACAAACAGAGGCCAAGGACACCATTTTATCCCCTGGCTAATAGCCTTTTATGGACCTAACCTCCATGAAATTATCTAGCTTCTCTTTAGTAGGGAAAACATTCATATTTTTTTTACAAATAGCACAAATACATTAACAGTAGCACATAAGTAAAATGGACTAAAGATGTCACAGGACCATTGCCAGTGAATGGGGGTGTTTCCAGTGGGGTTGTGCATGAATTACTTCTAAGCCTGATGCTCTTTAGTATTTTCTGGAATCATAGGATAATAGGACTGGGACTGGGAGGGACCTCAAGAGGTCATCAAGTCCAGTCCCCTGCCTGCATGGCAGGACCATGCACTCTCTAGACCATCCCTTATGTAACCTAAGATGAAAGAGAAAATCACGGCAGATAAAAGGTGAAAGTTAGACAGAAGCCTTAGGAGAAGCATTGCTAGCAGATCTAGGGAAGTGATTATTCCCCTTTAGTCAGCTCTGGTGAGGCCACAGCTGGAGTATTGTGTCCAGTTCTGCCTCCCTCCTCCCCACACACACACTACAGCAAGGACGTGGACACATTGGAGAGGGTCCAGCAGAGGGCAACCAAAATGATTCAGGGGCTGGAGCACTTGACCTATGAGGAGGGGCTGAGGGATTTGGGTGTATTTAGTCTGCAGAAGAGAAGAGTGGGGGGTGGGGGTGGGGATTTGAGAGCAGCCTTCAACTTCCTGAAGGGAGGTTCCAAAGAGGATGGAGAGAGGCTGTTCTCAGTAGTGACAGATGCAGAACAAGGAGCAATGGGCTCAAGCTGCAGTGGGGGAGGTCTAGGTTGGATATTAGGAAAAACTATTTCCCTAGGCGGGTGGGGAAGAACTGGGATGAGTTCCCTAGGGAGGCGGTGGACTCTCCATCCCTAGAGTTTTTTAAGTCCTGGCTTGACAAAGCTCTGACTGGGTTGATTGAGTTGGGTTGGTCCTGCCTTGGGCAGGGGGTGGGACTTGAGGTCCTCCTGAGGTCTCTGCCAGCCCTGGGATTCTAGGATTCTAGGATTCTAGAGAGTATGGGCAGAGTAGGGAACATGCAGAGTGGGGACAAGGATTCCTATAATTCTTCCAGGGAAACTCTCTATTAATTTCATACGGTCAAATGCACAGGAATCCTCTCAGAACAGGGGAAGCAGGCCTGACCCCCCAGCCGAGGTCCCTGTAATATGCAATGCAGGGTCCATAAAAAGGATTTAGAGGTCACCGTGGACAACCAGCTCATCGTGAGCTCCTAGTGAACTGCTGTGGTGAAAACGGTGACGCAAGCCTTTGACATACAAAAAGGGGCGTGGTAAGTTGGGTGGAGGAAACGTTTACCTCTGCACAGGGCGTTTTTCGGGAACCAGCTGCTTCCACTTCTGAGGTTCATAGTTTTAAAAATAGATATAGTCAAACGTGGGAGGGGGTGCAGAAAAGTTTCACACAAATGACTACAGGCTGGATGAAATGACTGAAAGAGACAGAACCGGAATGAACTTCATCTATCTTGAGGGTCAGACTCCACGGCCTTCTGAGGTCTCTTCCCACCCGTTGAGTCTGTGAGTCTATGGTGGAACGACTCTCCTGTGGAGAGACCCTTGGGTAACAGTGGGTGTTGCCATCTAGCAGAGAAAGGCAGAGCGAGGCTGCATGACTGAAAGATGAAGCCAGGCCAATTCCAGGCAGAAATAAAGGCCAAATGTTTAGCACTGAGGGGGATTAGCAGTTGGGACACATGGCGAAGGGAAGTCATGGATTCTCCAATTCTGTATATCTGCAGCTCCAGTCTGAACGCTTTTCTCTGGAAGATCTGTTGGAGGGTTTCTCTACCTCAAAATTTCTACAGTGGTGCTACCATGGAACGGCAGTGTAGATGCTACTTAGCCCCACGGCAGGGGTTCTTCTCTCAGCGTATGGAATCTACCTCTCTGGCTATGTCTACACTACAGAGTTTTTCTGGGATACCTCTGGTATTTCAGAAAAGTACTGCCACATCCAGGGAACGCGTCTGCCTTTTTGGATCCGTTTCCTAAAAAGCGGGCGCATTCTTTCGGAAGCCCTGTATTCCTCATTGTATGAGGAATAAGGGCTCTTCTGAAATAAAAGGTTTTCCCAACATTTGGCTGGCTCCGTGTAGACAGGCCAAATGTCGGAAAAGCCTCTTCCGAAAAAGAATCGGAGAAAGGTACGTAAATTGTACTTCCCAATTTGCGTACCTTTTTCTG